AAATAATTAAATTTAAATCTAAGGAAATTACAATTTTCCTTGAACTTGTACATCTGTTATATTTTACAATTATTAAATATTTTAATTGTTTTTATCTATGTCCCACTACAACAATTTTGAACCAATTAAAAAATTGAAATCAAAAAAATCAAAATCAAAGCTAGAATATATTTTACTATTGTCTCTACTGCCACTATTTCAATTGTCGGAATTCAACCTTAATAGAGCACAGCGTATTTCGGAAATGAATTCAGTCGTACATTCTCTGGTAAATTTTATATTTGCACTCAAGTTGCTGGAATACCCTTCAGAAACACTTGTAAGTATTTTTAAAGACTACAGTTTTTAAAGAAATGATATAAATTTGTATTACTTTACTAGGCTACTAGCGTGAGTTTTTTAGCAGGGAATTGTACATTCAATCCAAACCACTTCCATAACTTTACACTGACAGTACGCAAGTTTGATATTGACGTGGATATGTACATTATAAAGCCCTTAGTGTCTGGAATTATGGCGCAGATCGATTTGCAAGTTCGCGATACGAGAACCAACGAATATAATATGATAATTCAACGTGCGGTCGACATGTGCCAGATGGTGGAAAGTGCTAAGCTCGGCTTTTTGAAACGATGGCATATGTCATTTGTTAAAATGGGGAACTTTATCGCGAGCTGTCCCGTAAAACCAGGACGATACTATCTGCAGAATTGGAAGTTTAGCATCATGGAAAGAATGTCGTTTCGAGTACCCGGCTCTTATCGTATGAGTGCTTACAATTACTATGGGAAGTTGGGAAGCAAAAATGAAGAATTTGTCGATAAGTGTTTTTTGGATGCGGTAATTGAATAACTTAAACATATATATTACTTCAAATTCACGACATATGTATAAAGCTAAACCTCAAGTAATAATAAATATTAATTTGTTTACAATTGTTACAAACTTTTATAATATTTTTTTAAAATAAATAATACCATATTGTTTGATTTTTGCTTGGCTTGACTATAGGTATAACGTATACTGCCGAATCAATCATTTTTGCGGAACTGATTGATAAGTTTCTAGATTAAAGAGGGCGGCCTGCCCTATCAATTTTTACACATTTCGAGGTAATACAGAACAATGATCCAAAACAAATTATAAACACATTATCAAAACTAATTCTTTGCTAATTTTTTTGACAAAAAGATCCATTGCACCATAATATAATTTGTGAAATAAATAACAGGAATAAATTAATGTTTTTCCAAAACATCAATTAAATTTCGCTTAGCCATTTCCCCTTCAATACCGCAAATCACTGAAACATTTTATCACACTTTTCAGTTGTGTAAAAATGTTCAAAGTATATACTTATTGGCTAAAAATAATTGCGCTTCTTGGACTCTACGAGTTTTGCTTTCTAGAAGCTGTAAGCCTGTATTTGTTATTCAAAAAAATTACCTATTTTAAACATTTATGTTGCAGTCGAGCGTCTCATTTTTGACTGGCGAGAGCACATATAACAAAAAATTTTTCGACAACTTCACACTAAGCATCGTCAATAACACACTGTGCCTTGATTTTGACTTGAAAAAATCCTTATCACGAGGCATCCGTGCACACGTAGACTTCCAGTTGAGTCTGGGCAGATCGAAGAAATATCAGCGTGTCTTCGCTCATGTCTTGGATGTGTGTGGCGTTGTTTCTACGATAAACAATAACATTTTTAAGAGCTGGTTCCTGAGCATGCTCCAGCATAGCAACTTTATGTACAATTGTCCTGTCGCAAAGGGTCACTATTTTCTCCATAACTGGAGGCTGGAGTCGCCACTTGTGCCCACATATTTGTATGCCGGGGATTATCGTGTTAAGGCGCATTTCTTCTACGGCAAACATAGGACGAAGCTTGAGGACTTCATTGTGGATTTAACTGTTTATGCTCAATTGAACCCAAGCTGATTGCCGCAACTCATGCATGCAATGAGGTACAATTTAATACACATTGTGGCTGTCCGATTGACTTAATATGTTATTTTCAATATTAGCTTTATAATGAAAAAAAAAACTCTACATTAAAAAAGTAAAAGACAATTTTAAAAATTACCAAGAACTCATTGCGTTACAAATTGTGTACCCTGTTCGGAAATATAGCTTTTAAAGTAAACAAGATATGAATGGGGAATCAGTATTCTGGAGTTTTTCATATATTTGGGCAAGTAATAATGGATTCTTTATGCTTAATCAGCATTCTCAAGTAGTCACATGGAAATTCACAGAAATTGTAAGACTATGTATATGTGAATTTTTTAGTAATTGAACTCTTTAACGGAGATTGTGAATATACATTACGCCAAAAAGCTGCTCCTCTATTAGTTGTGGTAGGGAAACAATTGTAAATTTTAAAATTGAGTCGGTTTTGTCCAAACTAGAGACGATTTTCTAGTTCTGGCCAAATAGATTATTGTTGATCTTTATCTTTATTTTGATTAAAATCAGTGGAACATTTTCAAACTCTAAGACGTAAGAAAAAATTAATTAGCTTCCATGATGATAGCTACAAGTGATCAACCGACCGATTTAACTAAAGCATCGATTTAACTGAACGAACGAAGGACAACGCCTACCTAACGAACGAAAAAACGTAGCACAGGGAATAAACTAACAAATGAACGTAGTGCATTGCGAATATTTTTGAGTTTTTAAATAAATACCTAGTTTATAGAACACCATTTTTTTACCCTGACTATTTAAAAAATTAAAACAAAAAACGAATCAGCAGAATTGTGATAGTCAGCATTTCACAATTTTCATTTAAATTATTGCAATAACAATTATTTTTCTCAGCTTAAAAAATATAAGTAAATTACTTATCTCGTGCATATCCATTCGATTTATTCTTCAATCTTCTAATTTCTCAATCTTTTCGAGAGCTTAATACGTTTTACTTTATTTATATTTTGCCGGCGTATCACGTGTGCCTTGACTTCAACTTTACATTCAACATAATAGGCCAGATACTGAAATAATACTTTCAGTTCACTTACAAACAAAAATCGTCAGTCTCGAGAAATTAACAAATATTTTGAAACTTGTACATTAAATCAAGGCAGCGAAAAGTATACGATTTTTGGTCGAGGATATGGCTATCATCGATCCCACAACCACAAACCAAAGTACTATTTTAGCCACTGCCGTCGGCCTAATGACAATTGTCAATTCGCCCCCCATGAGCCAGCCTCTGGATTTGTGGTTTCAAACGTTGGAACAATGCTACGAATCGGCTGGCATTCAAGATTCGAAAACCAAATGCACTCATCTCCAAACTCACATCGTTCAGATGCCGCCACACAAGCAAATGGAGCTGATGGTTCGTCTGGATGAAATACAGGAGTTCGATGAGAATAGTTCCTACGAGTGTCTAAAGCAATGCATCCTTGAGATGTGGGCGTAAAAGGACTAGTATTTTAATTAATTTATCCCTTTCATGAAAACAAAAATACACAAACACAAAACATAACCTTGAGTTCAATTTTGTAATTACCATAAATTTGTAATTTCTTGAATATTGAATATGCTGTTGAAATATAGATTGATTGCTAGCTTTCAAATGTAGAACTGGCTAAAAAGTAAACATACAGACAAATAAATGTTTCAAAATATACATACAAGTACAGGGTGCGCCATCTTTTATGTCGGTATGTAGATATTGAATAACTTTGTCATTAGTGAACCGATTGACTTGAGTAGACCAGTGTTGAAAACCTCAGTTCACTTGAAGATCGGTTGTTTATTTTCAAGGATATTCAATGTTTGCATACCGACATAAAAGATGGCGCACCCTGTACATGCCAAGCTTAGTATCCCTAGCTGTTATGGAAGAGAAGTTAAAGGTGTTCATACGGACGGACAGATGGACGGACAAGCATATCTCTATAATAATTCAACTCGAGATGCTCATCAACATGGGATTTGTCGTGCCCCTTCTGCCTGTAACATACTTGTACATACAAACCCAGTACTTAGATTTAGGATTAGATTAAATTAACTATATTCCCTATATAAAGAAAACAAGTCTTAAAAGTTCTCATTTTGGGTTCAACTACAAATAGAGCTAACGATAACGAAGTTCGAATGGTGTTCTTGCCTTATTTCCTTGTGGAATTTACCCATAAATTAGTGTGTCTGTATGCGCTCGTATGTATCATTGTCAATAAATTACTGTTAGAATTTCATTTCATAAATTAAATTTTTTTTAATAATTTAAAAATGTTGAAGTTTTGTAATATTTAAGGATTTTTTTGGGTACGGCTGCTCTATTCTAGCAATTCCTTCTTGTTTTCTTTGAGAAACAAAATACATTTTTTACAATTAAGATGGAAACTGCATTACTATATCTAAATATTCAAGTCTGAGCTAATTACTTTTTTAGATAACTGTTGTAATATATAGGAACTTATAGTATCGGTTATTTTTCAAATTATTTGTCACGCTTCAAAAATTGTACAGCAATTAAACAAAAAAAATACAAAGCTAGAAAATAATCGACTATGCTATTTCTATTGCCGGAACTGAACCTGTATGGAACACACCGTATTTGTGAAATGTATTCAATCATATTTACTCTGCCAAAGGTTATATTAGCACTCAAATTGCTAACATACTTTTTAAAACCAGTTGTGAGTACTTTAAAAGATTGCAGCTTTTTAAGAAATATTATTATGTAACCTCTTTTAATTAAATAGGCAGCCAGCCTGACTTTTATAGCAGGGAACTGTACTTTTAGTCCAAGTCATTACCATAACTTTACACTGACAGTACGCAAGTTTGAAATCGACTTGGATATGTACATTATAAAGCCCATAGTGCCTGGGTTTATGTCGCAGATGGACTTAAAAATTCGCGATAAAAGGACCAACGAATTTAGTGAGATACTTCAATATTCAATTGACATGTGCCATATGGTGAAAAGTGCTAAGCTTACCTTCTTTAAAAGATGGTATATGTCACTCGTAAAAATGGGTAACTTTCTTATGAGCTGTCCCGTAAAACCAGGACGATATTACCTGCATAATTGGAAGTTGGGCAACATGGATAGAATAGCGTTTCGAGTGGCCGGCTCTTATCGAGTAAGTCTCTATAATTACTATGGGAAGTTGGGAAGCAAAAATGAAGAGTTTGTCGATAGATGTTTCTTAGATGCGGTAATTAATTAACGTAAAGTTGCATCTGAACTACGAGCTATTTCTTTCACCAAAAAACTGGAAAAATAAATTATGAAAAGGTTCTAAATTGTTCATTTTTTTATTTTAGAAGTAAATACATTTTTTACAATCAAGAGTGAAAGTGCATTACTATATCTAAGCATTCTAATAATACATATTGCATTCATATCTGTTGATTTATATAGAAATATACATTTGTCTTTTTTTGAAATTATTTCATATTTTTTTTTTTTTTTTTCTATTTCACGCTTCAAAAATTGTATACCAATTAAATAAATACAAAGCTAGGAAATAATCGACTTTTCTATTACCAGAACTCAACCTGTATAGACTCTGCCAAAGGTTATATTAGCACTCAGATTGCTAAGATACTTTTCAAAACCAGTTGTAAATATTTTAAATGACTGCAGATTTTAATCAACACAAGATCTATTTTAGCCAAATATGTTATTGGTTTACACCATATAGTGCCGAATCAATAATTTTTGGGCAATTGAATGATTCTGGATTGCCGGCAATTTGCAAAATTTACACATGCATCTTTTTCCGAACCTCAATTAAATTTCGCTTAGCCATTTCACCTTCAATATCGAAAATCACTGAAACATTTCAACATACTTTTCAGTTGCGTAAAAATGTTCAAACTACATACATATTGCTTACAAATAATTGCGTTTTTTGGACTTTACGAGTTTTGCTTTCTAGAAGCGGTAAGCCTATATATGTAATTCGAAAAATATACCTATTTTAAAAATTGATGTTGCAGTCGAGCGTCTCATTTTTGACTGGCGAGAGCACATATAACAAAAAATTTTTCGACAACTTCACACTAAGCATCGTCAATAACACACTATGCCTTGATTTGGATATTATTAAACCCTTATCACGTGGCTTCCGCGCCCACATAGAATTCCAATTGAGTCTGGGTAGATCGAAAAAATATCAGCGTGTCTTCGCTCATGTCTTGGATGTCTGTGAGGTTGTGACCACAATAAAAAATAACATTTTTAAGAGCTGGTTCCAGAGCATGCTCCAGCATGGCAACTTTATGTACAATTGTCCTGTCGCAAAGGGTCACTATTTTCTCCATAACTGGAGGCTGGAGTCGCGACTGGTGCCCACATATTTGTATGCCGGGGATTATCGTGTCAAGGCGCATTTCTTCTACGGCAAACATAGGTCGAAGCTTGAGGACTTCATTGTGGATTTAATTGTTTATGCTCAATTGAAGCCAAGCTGATTTTAATACGCATATTTGGCTGTATGATTGACTAAATATGTTATTTTCAATATTATGAGTATTAATACTGAAAAAAACTCTCTAAAAAAATCACATTTTAAATTGTCAAGAATTAATTTCATTATGAACCGTGTACACTGTTTGGAAATTTAGCTTTGTAAGCAAACAATAAATTAATGGGGAATCAATATTATATATGACGAGTTCTTCATACTGAAAATAAAAAATTCATCGTTCAAAAATATTTTAATTTATTAAACTTTATAACATCTCAAGAATATATGTACATAATCGCACTTCCGCCATATCTTCCGAGTACATTTGAGAATGAATTTAATTGAGACAAAATCATTTGAAAGTTTTTCTATTTAGATGAAATAAATTGTAATAGTATTTATTATATTTCGATCAAAAAATAAAAGAAGGTCTATAGTGAAAATGCATACCTCAAGTATAACTATTGGTATAATGCAATAATCATATAGAGTAGACGCAAATCGAATAGAATAATTGCACATTGAAAAAAATATTTCAACTTATTTGTTATGTAAATTTTCCTATCCCGGACTTAAGAGAACCCAAATATATTTCCATTTTGGTATTTTACTTTTAGAGGTACTGGCATTCATAAAAATGGCCGCACAAACATGTCTAAGCCGACTTGACTTGACATACTTTGTAGAGTATGCAACACCGCCTTTTGGTTATTACAAAACCTGCCTGAATTCATAGTAGCACTTTACCATTTGTGTATAGGGTATACAACTGCAAACAAAGTACATACTTAGTGTTCAATCAACCATTACAAATATTTAAGCGGAACAGTCGACGCCCGTACTATTACTTTTATTGAATCATTGCTTTTGGTATTTGTTTATTTTCGCAGAGTGCACATCATAATCGTGCCGAATGTTCAAAAAGACTATTCTATTGTTATATTTAAGTTTTACCTTAACAGGACCAATGAAAAACAATGTGGTTAGTAATTTACAAGTAGAGGATTGTCGTGACTGCCTTAATCATCCACAATTGTATTTTATTTTATTAGAAAAGCGGAATTCTTTTTAAAAGCGGTGACTGCAATTATAACACTGATATTTTCAGCAACTTTTCCTTGCACATCAATAACAAGAAAGGAATGCTAAAGTCGAGCAGGCTCAACTCTTAAATACCCTGTACCACCCCACAAAAAAGTAATTTAATTAATTTAATTAAATTAATTAATTTAATTTAATTAATTAATTTAATTTAATTAATTAACTAAATTAATTTAATTAATTAACTAAATATTCCATGCATGCATAGATACATTTACATTTACATCAGAATCGTGCCTTATGCGTGTTTGTGTACTGTACATATGTATGTATGTGTGCATTGGGCCTGGTTATATGGCTATAACTTTCTTTCCAATCATTCTATCATAATGAAACTTGGTATACGGATATACAATTACTAACTGGATGTGTCTACCAAATTTCAGTTCAAAATTCCAAGAATTACGGGAGTTATAGAAAATCGTTAATAGGGGGGGAGTGGGGGGGTGGATCAGAAAAAATGAACAAACTCGTCCTTTCTCGGTCTCAGGAGAATCTGTATACCAAGTTTGGTTATTCTAGCTCTTATACTTTCGGAGATCCTTGCGTTCATACAGACAGACAGACAGACAGACGGACAGACGGACAGACGGACAGACGGACATGGCTATATCGACTCGGCTTGTCATGCTGATCAAGAATATATATACTTTGTGGGGTCTACCAAGCCTCCTTCTGTGTGTTCCATGTGCACTCGCACAAAACTAATATACCCTTGTACCCTTTGGGTACAGGGTATAAAAATCAGTTGACCATGGACATGTTGTTAGTTCGCCCGCTAAGAATGGGTCTAAAAGGGCACGTGGTTTTCAATTTTCGATTAGGAAAGGCGCAACCTTATCGGAACCTCTTTCACCATGATTTCAACTATTGCGCAATGCTTAAAGGTGCACGAGATTCCATGTACGGCCGATTCTTTACGAGCATGTTAAAGGTGGGAAACTTTGCAACCAGTTGTCCTATAGGCACAGGAAATTACTATCTTCATGACTGGGCGCTTGATAGTAAGTTGGTGCCTTCGTTTCTACAAATAGGCGATTATCGAATCGATGGATCTTTTTACTATGGCAATAAAAAACAACATAAGGACAATACTTTGCTGCTCTGTACTGTCGAAGCAATATTGGATTAATAACCACAATATATGTATCAACATTGCACAAATTAATATGGAAGCTGTTCTGTTCAAATAAAGGAACTTCCTTGAGCATGGGCAGAGATATCAATTATGGCTATACCTTCGGTTAGGGTTGTGATACATAAATAAGTAAATAAATAAATAAATAAATAAATAAATAAATAAATAATTAATTAATTAAATAATTAAATAAATACATAAATAGATAAATTATTAAATAAATAAAAAATAAACTCGTCTTGACTCATTCTGCTAAGGATAAGGGCTAGTTAACACACCGACATTCCCAGAATCTTTAAGCGAACTTACAATACTGGAAAATCAACAAAGATATCTAGTGACAGGAAATAATAAAATATCTTGGTGTTGGACCCAAAACGGAAATTCGACTTATGCCGAATCTGGCAGACCTTTATGATCCAGGCGGAAACTCCTGATGGATGTAAGTAATGCCATACTATGGCTATAGCGCAAAATCGAAATATGAGCAAGAAAGGAAATCTACAAATTAATTTTAATTCTAACATTTTTTTTCTTAAGATCCCATATTGGCGATATATGCAAAACAATTCCAATTTTCTGGTTCGATACATCCTCCATTGGGGTATATTAGCACTCGTTTTTTTTTTGACCATATAATCGTTGGATATCACTTTGTTTAGTCATGCAGAAAATTGTTGGATATATATTATATTGGCCATTTAAGCATTAAATAACTGTAAACAGTAAGGCAAATTTATTTAATTTGATTGAAATTTTGTTATTATTTATAATCCGAAAGAAGGGGAAATGTTTTGATTTCAATGCACCCTTGAATCTCAAGGGATTAGATATTTTTGGTAACTTTTTGGAAATATTTTTTAAAATGACAGTCAAGTTTCATCGCGATAGTTTATCTTTAATCCTTTAATAGGGTGTCCCTGAATTTATTTCTGTTGCACAATAGCATGGGTTTTTTCTCAGCAATGTGTTTTTGGAAGAGTGCTGACCATTAGACCGAAGCTAAAATTATTAAAGATTTTCTAACAGCAGCTTTTTGTCAGCTTCTTTAGATTAGGTAAATTTTTTTATTATTTATTTTTAGCATTTTAAGTGATACAGATAAGAAAATTGATTTTATATTGCTCAAAAACTATATCAATCAGCCAACCAGCACTAAATGTGTACTCTCAAAACTTTGCCTAAGGGGGACTAAGCACGCTTTTCAAAAGGTTGCCTTTTATTTGAGCTTTTGCTTCGGTTTGTTCCAGTACAATGGATAGAAAATTCATAAAATTGTGTATTGCTTTAATTGCATTGTCTTATTACACATCCGTAAGTACATTTTTAATATAATAGGTTGTGAGTTTATACAAATAGTGTTTTCTTTAACTAGCTTGGCAAAGTTTTGTTGAAAGGCATTGCTTGTAAAACGGACCCCAATATTTTCTCTAATGTGTCTATAAAAATTGATGGAAAAAATAAGGTGATGGGTGACCTAATTCTCCTACATCCGCTTTCAAATGGGATTAAAATGCAAATAATGCTGGAACATCGAAGATTTAGCTCTTCACCCTTTACTGTCATACTCACCCACCAGATAAGTTATTGTGATATGTTTTCTCGCATGAATATAGGTAGATCCGTGTATCATCGATTGATCGGGACCTTGGCTAAAGCGGGAAACATTTCTCTCATTTGTCCAATACCACAAGGCTACTACTACTTTCGCAACGTGACTGTTTCGGATGACTTGGTACCATCTTTTCTGCGTTTCGGGGACTATCACATTGAAGCAACATTTTTTTACGGCAATTATAAAAAATATGATAACAACACTGTGATAAGCTGCCTGCTTGATGTTACATTGTCCTAAAATCTCAAAATGTGGTTATATAAAATAATAATAAACAAAAGAGAACGCTACAGTCGAGCAAGCCCCGACAGCAAAATAGCCTGTACTCTCCACAAATAAGGAAAAAATATTTAAAAAAACAAGAAAGAACGTTCCAGTCGAGCAAGCCCGACAGTGAAATACCCTGTACCCAGGTAAACTTCCGACACTGAGGTATATGCGCCCATAGCAGCAGCAAAAAGAGGAAGAAGAGCGAACTTGTTGCTGCAGTTTGGGGGGGTTGCACTGGAGAGAATTTGTTTCGCGAATAACTTTTCTTAAAATTTACCGAATTCGATTGGATTTTAAACAACGGTAGATAATTATATATAATTAGATAGCATTTGAAATGTGGACGCTATTGACGAAATTCTGTAGCGGGGGAAGGGGGGCGAAATTCCAAAAAATAAAATAAACTCGTCCTTTCTCGGACCTAGGAGAATCTAAATGCCAACTTTGGTTATTCTAGCTTTTATAGTCGGAGATGCTTCCTTCTGCATGTTACATACTTTATTACCCTACGGGTACAGGGTATCAAAATAATTTATTAAAAAATTTAATTAACTGGATGTAACTACCAAAATTGATTTCAAAATTCCAAGAATTACGGAAGTTATAAAAAAGCACGAATAGCGGGGGAGCGGGGGGGTGTATCAAAATAAAAAAACAAACTTCACCTGCATAGGGCTCAGGGGAATCTGGATACCAAGTTTGGTCATTCTAGCTGTTGTACCTTCTGAGATCCTTGCGCTCATGCAGACGGACAGACGGCTATATCGACTCGTCTTGTCATCCTGATCAATAATATATATACTTTGTGGGGTCTGCCACGCCTCCTTCTGTGTGTTACATACATACATGTGCACAAAACTAGTATAGCCTTTCACCCTTTGGGTACAGGCTACAAAAATAATAATAAATAAATAACGTATTTTAGCAACGAAGAGATTTCCGAAATACATATGTATGTATATATTGATTATTTACAAAACGTTCGGTTCAAATCCTAGCTTATGTTATGTTATAAATAAACTTTAACAAGAAAGGAATGCTAAAGTCGAGCACGCTCAACTCTTAAATATCCTGTACCAGCCCACCAAAAAAAATTATTAATAAAATGTTATTAATTAATTAAATGCATACATACATTTACATCAGAATCGTGTGTTTTCGTGTTGGTGTACTTGTACATATGTATGTATGTATGTGTGCATTGAGCCTGGTTATATGGCTATAACTATCTTTCTAATCATCATACGGATATATAATCACTAACTGGATGTGTCTACCAATTTTAGTTCAAAATTCCAAGAATTACGGGAGTCATGGAAAATCGTGAATACGAGGGGAGTGGGGGGGAGCATCGGGAAAAATTAACAAACTCGTCCTTTCTCGGGCTCAGGAGAATCTGTACACCAAGTTTGGTTATTCTAGCTCTTATACTTTCTGAGATCCTTGCGTTCATACAGACAGACGGACATGGCAATATCGACTCGGCTTGTCATGTTGATCAAGAATATATATACTTTGTGGGGTCTGCCACGCCTCCTTCTGTGTGTTCCATGTACACTCGCACAAAACTAATATACCCTTGTACCCTTTGGGTACATGGTATAAAAATCCAATATCGAAGAGGTAAAGAAAGTAATGCAAAATCGGCAAATCATACCTGTAAAATATGCTATTTACATTATAGGTATTATACATTTCAATGGAAAGTGTTTGGCTTAATTTCATTTAGATTGTATATTTATAACTGCCATATGGCATAAGTTCATACTGGTATATATGATATATATATCATCATATAGTAATGTGGAGTGAAGAGGAAATAGATTTTGTGCTGGCCCGACAATCATCAATTTAATGACCGTAACGAAAGCAATCGGAACAGGTTTATTTTACACTTGAATTCGATTTATTTGTGCTGCGAGCAAAATGTCAATAAGCACGATGATCGGCTACTATATCTTCACTTTATTATTTCTGGCAATGGCATTCCGAGGGTCTAAAAATATAACAGCTGTAAGTATTTTACACAGTTTTAATCCAATTGTAAGAAATGTCGTTTTTCCCAGTACAGCAAAATGAGCTTCAAGAGCGGAGATTGCAAATTCAATACCGATACAATTTCCAATTTTTCCTTACAAATTATTAATAGCAAAGTGAGCATAGACTTTTTCCTAGTCCGAGCGCTACAAATTGGAGTGAAGGCGCATCTTAAGTTTGATTTTCGTCTAGCCAAAGAGAACCCTTATCATACTGCATTCCAGCATGATTTAAATTTTTGTAACGTTATGAAAACCGCACATGAATCTATTTATGGCCGTTGGCTTTTGAATATGATCAAGTTTGGGAACTTCAGTACCAGCTGCCCTGTTCCAAAGGGATACTACTATCTACATAATTGGACATTGGATGGGAATTTGGTGCCAACATTTTTTCAGGTGGGAGACTATCGCATTGGAGCCACCATGTTCTATGGCAAGTACAGGAAAACTAAACTTCAATCACTGTTGGAGTGTACGGTTGAAGCAGTACTGGACTAAAGTGAATAAAAGCTAGAAGGAAGGGCCCAAACGCTCACATTTAAAATGTATTAGTAACCTGTTTTCTGATATCCAATATAATTCACAAAATACTATATGTGTGAGATAATTATTATAAAACAGAAAGGGTCGTTTATCGTTTCCAATCTTCGATAATAAACTTTTATTGAGTTTGACGTTGTGGAAAGGAGACATCTGCTTATGCTATATTACCACATTTTTTAAATCTTTAGAAAAGCTTGCTAGATTAAAATAAATTGAAAAGCACTTCTGTTTAAGGATTAGAATTGAGCACCTGTGGAGTAAGTTAAAATCGGTAGTACGAAAAACTGTACCATGAATTACAGCCGTACATGATCAGAGATTTTCAGATTTTCATTAAAACAAAAAAGTATATTTTTATAGTATCGAGAGGTTTCTAATGAAAGAATGAAAAGAGACATATATAGTATGATATAAATAGCAAAAAAAAAAAAAAACATATATTACTCATTTAACCTGACTTTGACTTATCACAATATTTGTGTAGTGGAAATTATTGGAGCCATTAAGTTAACGAGTGTCGTTATTAACTAAACTATTTATACTTATATATATGCATGATCGTTTCAATTGATGCTTCCACTTCGCAATCATCCATCTAATTGTGGGATATCAATTCTTGTTTTCGGCATTCACAACTAGTTTTTCATAGCATTACCACTTTGCAATTGCTGGTGTCAAAATGTTTAAATTGCGCATTTATTGTCTTAAAATAATTGTTCTATTTTTATTCATAATGTTGAAGTTTTGTGCTAATCAAGCGGTAAGCCAAACAAGGATAATTATTGCAATTAATTTATTATTTATTTTATTTTAAGGAGCGCCATGCCCAGTTCAAGTATATTAATGCTACCTTCAGCCCAAAACACTTTCATAATTTCACTATAAGTATTGAGAATAATACGATGAACATGGATATGTATTTAATTAGACCCTTGCGGCGTGGCTACATGGCCCACTTGGATTATCAAATGCGTTTGGCCAATGCGAAATCCTTTCAAACCATGTTTAGCAACAAATTCGATTTTTGTAACACGTTGGGTAGCATGAAGGATAGCATAATAAAGCATTGGTTCAAGATAATGATGCAATACGGGAACATTATGCCAAACTGTCCCATGGAGGCCGGGCACTATTATATCCGCAACTGGACAATGGGAAGTACGATTGCGCACAAGTTCCTTCATCCCGCAGAATATCGATGCATTGCCCGTACCTATTATGGCAAATACAAGTCCAAGACGGAGGATCATGTAATCACATTTCAAATAGAAGCAGAGCTGATGAATTAACATCTGACTAATTTTTCTATATAATTGCATTACGTAAATACTTCACAATTCAATGCAAGATGTATCTAATCTCAATAAAACCAACAAAAGCTAAAAAATTACATAATCATTGCTTACCAAGCTGACATAGAGACTACATGTGGATGAACAGATAAGCATTACATCTTTCTAGTCTATTAATATTTGTTTTATTTGAAATGTGTGGAATATACATATATATAGTACATGTATAAAAATTGAAAAATATAAAATCATAGAAAATAGAAAACAGTAAACAAAATTCGAATACACACCATTAGAGTTTTGAAATGCTGTAAGTCGTGTATGACTGCATATTTACCTCGGCTTTGTATACCTTTCAGGTACAGAGAAAAAACAATCTTGGTGTAGAGGTAGGCATAAAATTACAAGATATATGGAAGCACTAACGTCAATGATTATAAGAATCACACAACAATATATATGTATATAACCCTATATATAATATTAGTATTGTGCAAATTGTTTGAGCCATTCGATTAACGAGTATCGTTATTAACTTAACGATTTAACATATTAAAGCTTTTCTTATCCTTGATCGTTTCAATGGATGCTTCCACTTCGCAATCATCCATCTAATTACTTGTGGTATTTCAATTCTTGTTTTCTGCATTCACAATTAGTTTTTCATAACATTACCATTTTGCAATTGCCGGTGTCAAAATGTTAAAATTGCGCATTTATTGTCTTAAAATAATTGCTCTATTTTTATTCGTAATGTCGAACTTCTGTACTAATCAAGCGGTAAGTCTGTCAACGTCAATTATTGTAATGTACCGATTATTTGCTCTCATTTTTAGGAGCGCCATGTCGTGTTCAAGTCAATTAATGCCACATTCAGTCCAAAACACTTTCATAATTTCAGTATAACGATTAAGAATAATACCGTGAACATGGATATGTATATTATTAGACCCTTGCGTCGTGGCTACATGGCCCATCTCGAATATCAAATGCGTTTGGCCAATGCTAAATTATTTCAAACAATTTTTAGTAACAAATTCGATATTTGCAATACAGTGGGTAGCCTGAAGGAAAGCATCATAAAGTATTGGTTCAAGACAATGTTAAAGAATGGAAATTTTATGCAAAACTGTCCCGTTGAGGTCGGACACTATTATCTCCACAATTGGCAAATGGCAGTGACGCACAGGTTTCTTCAACCTGCCGAATATCGATGCATTGCCCGTACCTATTATGGCAAATACAAGTCCAAGACGGAGGATCATGTAATTACATTTCAAATAGAAGCAGAGCTGATGAATTAACTATGAACCAACATCTGACAACTTTTGCACAAGAATTCAAATGCATATTTTTAAACAATTACATGTAAATTTTCCTGCTCGCTTTTGAAAACAAACCAACTATATACTTCATATATACTTATATACTTCAAAAGACTAATGCAACATTTTTTAATTGATATTATTATTATATTTTGATAATTTTAGAATTAAAAATCCTTTTTTTTTTTTTTGTTATCGATTATTGCTAATAGCTTCAAAGCTGAATTCGACTCAACATTTATACAATATGCATAATTTTTGTTAACTCATTGTTTTGTGAAGCGCCACTCGTAAAGTATTCCCGATGTATTTAAATATTTATTTTCTATCTCTTCTGGTGACAATAATTGAAGCGGTAAGCTAAGTGTCTACAAATATCGGTTGCTCTAAATTTGTAATTTATTGTTTAACTGCAGTCTTCAACTATAAGGATGTTATCAAGCGAAGTTAAATATAGCCCGAAATATTTTGACAACATCACAGTTGAAGTGAGAAATAATTCTGTTTACTTGGACACTTTTAATAAAAGAGAACTTGGAAAGGGATATCAGTTGCGTATGGAATTTCAACGTCGTATCACAGATACTTCTAGATTTGAAACGGTTTTTAAATTCATATTTAACCTTTGCAATGTATTGGATTCTCCAAGTGCAGGTGTTATGAAGCGTTGGTATTCCAGTCTCATGAAAACAGGGAATTTTCTTTCGAGCTGTCCGATAAAAGCTCAACATTACTATATACGTGGTTGGAAATTCGATCCTGCAATTCGTCCAATGTTTTTAACACCCGGCTATTATAGTGTGGAACTATATAGTTTCTTTGGAAAGTGGAAAAGCAAAAATGAGGACATAGCAAATTGGTTTACTTTCACTTTGGCTATTACATAAAATACAGTTCTTAAACTAGGCTCAGAAAAAAAAAATGGAGAATGGAATTCAAATGCATATTTTTAAACAATTACATGTAAATTTTCGTGCTCGCTTTTGAAAACAAACCAATTATATACTTCAAAAGACTAAAGCAACATTTTTAATTGATATTATTATTATTTTTTTTAATTTTAGAATTAAAAATACTTTTTTGTTATCGATTATTGTTAATAGCTTCAAAGCGAAGCATGAATGACTTTTAGGCTGAACTCGATTCAACATTTATACAATATGTGTAATTTTTGTTAACTCATTGTTTTGTGAAGCGCCACTCGTAAAGTATTCCCGATGTATTTAAATATTTATTTTCTATCTCTTCTGGGGACAATAATTGAAGCGGTAAGTTAGGTGTCTACAAATATCGGTTGCTCTAAATTTATAATTTATTGTTTAACTGCAGTCTTCAACAATAAGGATGTTATCAGGCGAAGTTAAATATAGCCCGAAATATTTTGACAACATCACAGTTGAAGTGAGAAATAATTCGGTTTACTTGGACACTTTTAATATAAGAGAACTTGGAAAGGGATATCAGTTACGTATGGAATTTCAACGTCGTATCACAAATACATCTAGATTTGAAACGGTTTTTAAATTCATATTTAACCTTTGCAATATATTGGATTCTCCAAGTACAGGTGTTATAAAGCGTTGGTATTCCAGTCTCATGAAAACAGGGAATTTACTTCCGAGCTGTCCGATAAAAGCTCAACATTACTATATACGTGGTTGGAAATTCGATCCTGCAATTCGTCCAATGTTTTTAACACCCGGCTTTTATAGTGTGGAACTATATAGTTTCTTTGGAAAGTGGAAAAGCAAAAATGAGGAATTCGTAAATCGGTTTACTTACACCATGGCTATTACATAAAATACAACAGCATTAAACAACGCTCGAATAATTCTTAATAAATGTATCAAAAGCTAAAATTGAATATACGAGTAGATTTGATGAAACAATTAAACAAAAAATCATTTTTGGCCTTCGCTTTACAAACTTTGCAAACGAAGAATGATGTTATTATTAATATTATTTCATTATATTGCTTATAATCTATACATACTAGTGTAAACATATGTAAGTGTTTTTCATATTTTAACTTTAGCTTTTTTCTTACGTATACTTAGTTACCCCTAACTGCTTGATTGTAAATATTGTTTAATGTGAAAATTTTATATTTTGAAAACCGTCCAATACCAAGCCGGACAGACGGACATGGCTATATCGACTCGGCTTGTCATCCTGATCAAGAATATATATACTTTGTGGGGTCCGCCACGCCGGCTTCTGGGTGTTACATACATTCGCACAAAACTAGTATACCCTTGTACAGGGTATAAAAAGTGAACATGTAAGACAACTGTTATATGTATGTATGTATGTATGTATGTACGTTTGCAAGAAAGCCGCCACAAAACGACAAAACGGGACGTAAATTAAATGTAGTTTTTTTCCAGTTACGTTTCTCTTTATTTTTTGTTACGGCGACGTTAAGTCTGTTCAAACGTACCGAATTGAAGAAAGAGAAAGCATGCGCTAACGAAAACGAATAAACGATTACGCACAACATTCATACAATATACTCGTACATACATACATACATATGTATGCACATACAGCTATGCTAGAACAATAATTTAACAAATCAACAGAATTAAAATTTAGTTAAAATATAAAACGAACTACGCACTTACATACATATGTACATATTTATATGAAAATAAATTCTGATCCTCTTTATTCCAAAATGATGAAAAATGCAAGACACTAAAATCACTTTAAAAAAAAAATTTGCGGCGCCGCAAATCATCACGCACATGTGAAGAAACACAAAACAAAACAACGAAAGAAAGAACAAAAAAACACGTGACACGACGCGGCTCAACGGTTGGCAACAAAACTATAACCTACGTACATACATACATACATACATACGGACGTATTTGTTGCTGCACACAAACACTCTCTCGTAAGTGTTGCTCTCCTCTAAGACGAATTTAAGCAGCAGATACAAACATACATATTTACGTCACGATCGCGAAGCACACCGGCGTCTAACAAAGGAAAACACTATTAAACTTTCATTTTTCACATATTTTATTTGCATTTATATACACAACTAAATATATACAAGTTGTGCATAATATCGCTAATACTTTATGTTTAACTGAAGCTTTATTTAATAATTTTCACCAACGCCAACGAAAAGTAACGCGACGCGCTCAAGAAATGGCGCAAAACTAAGCCTTGGCATGCAGCTGTGCTCTCTGTAAGAATGCAAAAGTGAAAGAAAAGAATCAAAAATCATAGCTGTAGATCAGCGCAATTGGCATGGGCGTAGCAAGGATCATAGCAAAGAGGATTTCATGAAAATTATCTCACATTAAATTTGTGTTTTTAGAAATTACAATATTTTATTTATTTTCAAAAATATTATTGTGATGTTTATTAATTAATTGTTGTTCATTTAATTAAGAGTAAAATATGAGCAAATTCATCAAATTGATTGAATATTAATTTCGGCAAAACTAGTTAAGTTTTTAAGATTCTTTTGTATGTATAAAAATGTACTGTTTTTGTTTATCTTTTTAATTTATTTTATCAAGAAATATTAATGTGAATATCGTATATTAAACCCTTATTGTTAGCTTGCCTACAACCATGCTTATTAACTGTTGAATAGAAATTCGCCTTCCTTTGCTTTGTCTTTTATTTCTTTGCTGTCACTCTCTTCTTAAAAGAGAGCAACATTCACGAGAGAGTGCGTTTGTGCAACAACGAAGATAATTTTTAGTTTTGTTTGAACTGTTGCGCCGCGTTGCAATGCCTGCGTCTTTGGCTTCGTAAAAAATTAATAAATGTTTTAATTCTGTATTTAAATAGTACATTAATATGCCTACATTCGTCGTTGTATAAGAAAATGAGTTTTTCGTGCTGCTGCCTGGGTGTGTGTGCAGATTTTTGTTGTTTTTTTTCAAGTGCTGTGAATGTGTTTTATGAAGTGCTTAATGCTTAACTGCAATAAATTACAAGTGTGTATGTATATACATATGTACATACATACATACATATATAAATGCAAATCAACTGATCTTTTGTACATAAATATGTACACATGTGTAAGTGTTTGTTTGATTGTTTAATTCCTATTAGTTTTATTCGTACATTTACATAAACTTGTATGACAGTGTATACCTAAAGGCGGAACAAAAACTGCATTTGATTTATTTATATTTTAAACCTTACATGTTCAATGCAAACGCACCCGTATATTTAAACTATGATTTATATTTTATGTGTTGCATATATTTTTGGCAATTGCTAATTAGTGAATATTAGTCATAAGTTGTCGCGTGTATAACAGTTTCCTTATACACTGCGCGTCATCAGGTTAGCGCCCCCCTTTGTGTTCTCACTTAATGTTGAATATTTTATAAGCCATATGAAATAGAGTCTTATAATTTTTATTCATTAAACTTTTATCTATCCTTTTTAAGAAAAAACAGCAACAGCACCTGTAACATTTTGCAAAAGGTTTTTTTAAATTTTTTTATTAAAGTATACAAAAAGAGCGTGGCTTAAATTTGGTCATCAGGATAGCGCCCCCTACACTAAATTCATTTTTTTTCAATTTTTGAGCGATAAAAGTTTGTCATAATGTATTTATTTTATTCTTTAAATATTTTTAAGCAAAATTAATAGTGTGTAGTCCTGCCTTTGTTAACAATAACTTCATAGATTCGATTGGGTATTGAATCATACAGTTTTCCAATGTTATTTAAGGAAATGGTGGACCAAGCGTGTTTTATGCCTTCGATTAACTCCTCCTTTGTTTTATATTGCTTTCCGGACTCGTACACTTTTCTAGCCAACCATCCCCAGACGTTCTCGATGATATTTAGATCAAGCGAGTATGGTGGCCACTCAAGGATATCTACTTTTTGGCTTTGAATCCACGTTTTTACGATCCGGGCTGTGTGGATTGGAGGATTATCGTGCTGGAACCGCCATACCAGATTTCCAAAAATATTCTTAATGTAGGGAAACGC